ACTGAAAACATTCAGATTCGCGCACTCCGACTTCATGGTCGTGAATCTACATTTGAATCTACTTTTTTTTAAAACTGCATCTCACGCACCAAAGATGGTGAAAAGGCATTGAAAACTATTTTTCTAGCATAGTTTTTGAAGCCATTTCCAGGAATACACCAGTCTCGGTTTACGTTCTAAATTCAGCTCATCTCCGTGTCATTACGAACGGAGTGTTGTGGAATTCTCTAATGAACTCTAATGGTCAGAAGTTCGTCATTCTCGTATTAACAAGCAAACATGCATGTTCTTAAATGCAGTTATTCTTTGTAATACATTATTTAGCTAAGCAAACGCGCAAATGTCCATGCTCTTTACCGGAACAGTGGCATTATTACACAATACTCATGGCGTTATTAGGTTGAAGTATAGAACAGTGAAAACCAATTATGAACTTGGCATACATAGAAAATATTCTATTTTTTTCTATTAAATCTATTTTCTACACTATCCAATGCGTATTTTAACGAACTCGCGATCTCCGACGTACTGTTTGTTGCACGTTGAACAAGTGAGGCCATTGCGAACACTTCGAAAAGCAACAATCGCGCACACATAATGCGAGGAATCACGGGCGATGCGGCCCGACCGCAGCCCGCTGGGCCAACAGAAGGGAAACGCCGCAATATAAACTCATAAAAGCGGACTCGCAGTCGGCGCCGGCGGGCGGCGCGCCCAGCGTCTCATTACAGAGCGTTCGCCGATCGGAGCACGCGGCCGGAGGAGGCATTGCTCATCGATTCGCAGGAGCACACGACGACCGTGCGGCGCCGCCACTTTCAGCCCGCCCTCGCCCTCGCCTAGGCGACCGGGACGCGGCAAAATTCCTCCTGCAAGTTGTTCTCGGCGGAGGCAAGCCCGAACCGTAATATGCCGCCCGCCGGAGTTGAGTAATTAGCGGGGACATTTGCATTTTAATTACGATATTGGAAGTTGGCCCCGCACCTTCGCTGCCTTCGGGTGTCAGTCGCCGCGCGGGGCGGGGGCGGGGCGCAGCTGCCGCATTACCCCGCAGATGGGCGGCGCTCGATTCAAAGCCGCGTCCTTACGCGACGACGGCGCCGCCAGCATTTGAGGTAGCGTTCCGCCACACTGGCGACAACGGCCAGCCGTGCGCGATTAATGCAATAAAACTTAACAAAGGAGAGGACCTCTTTGTGCGGTTGTCCCGACCGACTGTTGTTCTACCGGATGATGGCTTTCATAGGATACGACAGGGTACAACCTCGCAGCCCGAACTAATCCATTAGCATCCTCTATACCATCGTAAAGGGCGCCGCCAACACAACCCCCGTAAAAGAAGACGGACGTTCTAATGAAAACAGTCTGGAAGAACTAACAAGCAGAGCCATTCTTCCCGCGTCCACCGTGCGCGCCTATCAATCCCCCCGACAGCGCGCTCGCATCGTTGCGCCGCACGTGACACCTCGCTCTGCAAGTGAACTCGCTTAGGGAGCGCCAGAGGGGTGTCCATATTTCGGGCGAGCGCGCCCTCCCTCGCCCATGAAGACGTCCGGAAGTCTTGTAAACAGCGGCGCGCATCACCGTGGACAATAATGCGGAATAAGAAAGTAGCATATAAAACGATTTGCGAGAGATCACATGGCCGGGGGGGGGGGGGGGGGGGGGGGGCAGCAGAGCCAAGCGCGTCGAGGCGAGCGAGAGGGTCGCTCCCCGCGCCGTCAAAACAAACGACGCGCAGCTTATCTGCGGCGCGGAGGCGGGGGGGGGGGGGGAGGGCTGCCGGAGCCGTCGCCCGGGACGCAGGCGGGGGCGGGGCGAGGGCGAGGGCGGGGGCGGGGGCGGGAACGCCGCGCAGGTGAGTGCCTCCGTGGGTCGATACCGAGAGCCTTGCCCAGGCGACAGCCGCTACCGCCGAATAGTCGCCGCCTCCTTCGCCCAACGGTCAGAGGCCATCCCGAAAGTGCCCGCCACCCCCAGTCGCCCGCGAGCCTTTAGCAACGCTTCCTCTTCGCAGGTACCCTCGCGGTGCGAACAGGGTTTCAAATGGCTACCCTCATTTTGACACGATTTCAAATGAATTGTGACCTTTAATTCCATTCAATTTAATTACTATGGTTTATACGTATAATCACTGAGCACATAAAATATCGTTGGCGCATATATTTCACATTTTTAAAATGTACGTTCCATTCGAAATTCCAATGCATTATGTTACAAATACCGATCTAAGGAATCCCGCCTTTTCATTCCCATAGCTATGAAATATGTAGATTACCTGAACCCTGTGGTTCACCACACCATCTGCAATCCAGCGCGGTCATATGAACGCAATCACCACCAACAGATAGGAGGGCGCGTTTTTAACTTTAGAAATTAATTCACCGCTCGTATATCTGGAGGCGCCGATATTGAGCTCGGGAAAGGGTGGGGGAATTAGCGCTCGCAGAGGCAGCCTGTGCATCTGCGTTCACTGGGGCCCATGTACAGCGAAGACCTCCCTCAAGCTCGTCTCTCCGTCAGGAAATTACGAACTCTCACGAAGCCTTTCTTGCGAAGTTCCAGAAGGAGGCCACGACCCCTTCGGTTTCAGATCCTCGGCTCACTTATTTGCCTCGCATTTCCCGTGATTTAGTCTGACAATATACCAATGTCATAAATTAATAAAAAAAGCAGTCTTAATTTTCTTTTTGACATCTCCCGCATTTGTGCGATACCGTTTGGAATTTTAGATACAGTTTCAGATTTTGAATTCGAGGGTCCAACTAACTTCTGTAGTACAGCGCAACTTCAATTTCGAATATCTGAACGAAATCTAATTTCGACTCGCAGAAGTTGGAGTTAGCGAACACATGGGCACAGCGAAGGTGAGGGAAGTGGAAGGACAATCGCGGTATCGAGCGTGGGTAAACAGCGTTTGCACTTTCCAACTACCGCTGTCAAAAGCGCCCTCCGTTTAAACGTCAATTGAAGAGTTGAGCGCATTCACAGCGGGCGATCGGGTCGTTGCGGCTGAGACGCCACGGAGAGGCAACCGAGCGGCGACGCCGCGCGCAACACACGCGCGCGCTCACTGAGGAGCGATCAGCCAACCACAACCACGCACGCACGCACGCGCGCGCAAAACGCTTCACGCAGAGGAGCAGCGATCGCATAATCCACAAAACAGATGCCGTGTTTACACAACAATGCTCTCGCACGGGGCACACAAAACTTTTTGCTGCTTTTTGTGCCACGCATTGGCGCTCGAGTTGCGGAATTGGAAATGCAGCGCGCATTCGTTGGCCTGGCGAGACCGTGCCTCCGCAGTGTGCTACGGGAGACCGCCCGTGAAATAAGCGAGGTGGCGTGGCTCTCCCATATCCACGACGAACAGAAGCAGAGAACCATACCTTTCAGATTCACATTCGTACTAACAGCAGGTTTGTTTTCCTGAGTTATCAACAAATGAAAGATTAATTCCACACTGCAGGTTTTTCTTTCACAATAGTACTACAGTGGCCAAATTACATTCCCTACGCATTTATTAGAATTCTATCCCCAATCTCCGCGCGAACAAGATCTGCGGCGAGGAGACCGCTGGATGAGCAACATTAAGCGCCAACCAAAGCGAAGTTACATATCCACTGTTGGCTCGCCCAAAGCAATGTACTCGATATGATTATCCTCAAATCCCGTTTATTTACGCTCGCGAATCCACAGAACGCGCCGCTCGCGCGGGGCGAATCACGCGTGGGGTGGGGTAGGGTGGGGGGGCGCGCGTCAGCAGCTGTGGCGGCGCCGCCGCGCCTGCCGTCGCGTCGCGGGCCGCCCGCGGCGACGATGCATCACGCAAGATAGGCCATTTGCAGCCCAGGTGCGCGCCGCCCCGCGCCGAATAATCTATAACGCGCGCTCGCGTGAATTGTGCGACGCGCGGCGGAGCGGGGCGGGGCGCAAACGGACGCGCTGCGGGGGCGAGCTGTCACCGAGACGCCGCCCGACCTCCATCAATCTCCCTCGCCCCGCACGCTCTTCCCCCCCCCTCTAGCTTCCTGAGTTCCTGCGACTCCTTCGCAACCGCAGCCCCAGACGCGCGAACTTCCCCGTCTTCGCACGCGGAGCAGCAGTCGGAAGCACCAACACCGCTACAGCACTGCGCATGGCCGACAATGGCGTGCAACGGACTTGTCGAAACTCTACCTGAATATTGGAAAATAACTAAAATGCACTCGGGATTGTATTATAAAAGAATATCCTCCAGCTGAAGTCCATCGGCATATCATGTAGTAAGGAGAATTCCCAGTCAATCGCACCTCGTGGCCCAGTGTGAATACTGCCGCTGCGCCCTCGCGCCGCTCCGCCTCCAAGAGTCCGCCCGTTGCTCTGCTCGCACACAGCGAAAGAACCGGTGGAGTGTGCCAGATCCATGATACTGTAAAATGTTTCCTTGTTACACTCCAACGGCTCTTTCGTTTCCCAGCGTCATCAACAATATACATTTAACAAATACACTCGTCTCAGGTACTCCAACACACCCACCCACAGCCTTTTAATCAACTAACACAATATTTAATTATCTACGCCGCCGTAATTAATGAACACACAAAATCACAACAGGTTCTGGTGACCTACGAGAAATACCCCCCCCCCGTTTCACTGTAGGTATATTGAAGTTTCAGCGAAACCATTTCAGTTCATGAACAAGATCAAGATTACACAAGACATTTCCAAGCAGTTATACGGTACAAATTTTTTTTACCTGATTTATTGTGCATTTGTTGTTTAAGTACGGTACACACTATAATAATAATAATAATAATAATAATAATAATAATAATCCTTTATATAGCGAGGCTATTTAATTTAAAAGAGCAATTGGCCGCCTAATGAAATCATTCATATCACTAATCAGAACCCCTTTATAGAGTACAGGGGAACCTGACATCACGTCACATCTAGACCACATTTCCCGTCACCAGCGCGCTTAGCGCAGTTTAGTTAAAGCCCTACACACTTACCTCATCCGTGTCCATCGTTCGTTTGGACATTGGGACCTTCATTGAAGAAACACCGGTCTCACTCACCTGCAAAGAGAAACAGAAGGCACAGTTAGCAACGCACTCCAAGACGCGCAAATGGACACGAGAGCAGAGCGCGAGAGGCGTGGGGGGCGAGTCGCCGCACAACGACGCTCGGAAACCGTTAGGTCGCAGACGAGATTCTGCAGCACCCCCCCCGGCTGCCCGTTTGGAGGGGCGCAACTCACGCATCGCCTCCACGTGAGGCACTTAAAAAGTTGGACACTTTGCTGTCATTCATTCATTAAAATTGCAAAAAATTTCATCAAAAATCAAGAACACTTAATAATTTAACTACAACAAATGCTTATCTTCAAGAAAAGAAAAAAATCTCAATAATCATGGTAACTATACATTCACGAAATTGTAGCTTCTCTTTTGCAAGAATGATGTCATTAGAAACGTGTGTTCTCTTTTTACAAGATAAAGAAATGAGAACGATATACATGGAGTGGCAATTTATTGATTTTTTTAAAGAAAAAACCTGAATTAAGAATAATACCAATCTACGATATTTACTTCTTTCAGAGATCTAGTGAAATCGCAAAAATCAGGTTTTAGAAACGCACAATTTTGATGAATGTAAAATGATGATTACGTCAGCCGAACCACACGGCTTCCAACTTTCAAAACAGGGAACGATTCCTGTTGTCTGTCGTTCGCCGATTGAGTCTACCTTTCCGGGGCGATCGGCCGGAGGCACCGCCGCCCAGCGCAGCAGCTCTGCGCCCGCGCAATCAAACAAATGGCCTCATCCTTGATTCAACTCCCTCCACCACCAACATTCTCGGGGGTGGAGGGAATTAAATTATCAAAGTGCGTAAGTGATAGGGGGAAAACATCATAAGGGAGTCCGCTCTCAGAAATGGTCCAGGACATCTGGAATCAGTTTCTTTTCGACTTTTCGTCACCACACTAGCTGGCAATATGATTGGATGGGCCATCTTTCTCCAAAATCTGGGAAACCTTAGGCTACATAGAAGCTGACGCTCCGAAATATCGGCAGAAGAGATTTACAGCTAAAAAAAACTCCTTTCCATATGAGAATGTTCAGTTATGAAGAAGCATGTCGAATCAGTATAACGAAATTTAAACTTGATAAGTCTTTTGTTGCGCTAGTATGTGACCCTGCATTTGTGGCGTAAAAATTAACATGACAGTCGTTCAGTTTCGAAGACCAGTGCCGGGACCCCTTTGATGAGCGCGCCTAGCGCAGGGGACGGCGCGCGCCGCCGAGCGGCCGTGCACGGCGGGCGGCCTAGCGCCCCGCCCCCGCCCGGATCCAATTTAAGTTGGCGGCGCGGCCCGCGCACGGCGCCGTACAAAGGGGCGGGGCGGAAGGAAGCCAGCCAAACCTCGGCGGCGGAGATGCAGATGAGTGATGGCGCCGGCGAAAGGAGGGGCGCGCCCTTTGTCGGCGGCGGACACAACAGGTACGCGCAGAAAAGATGGCAGCAGCCAGCAGCAGGTGTGATGGATGCTGCGGGTCGGCGCTAAGGAAGGAGCCGCCGTATACACTGCCCTCGCCCCACAATGGCGGCATTGTTACCGCTACTTGCCGGCGTTACTACAATGGGCGAACCGCCTGCTGTATTTTTCGACCCCGCGCCCTCACGCTCGCTCTCGCGGCGTCCGCCTTGCCGGCCGCCGCCGCCGCCTCCGCGTCTCTATCTCCCTCCTTCCCTCCCACTCCCTCTCCCTTCGCCGGGGCGTACGTACCGCGTCCCACGGCCCAGAGTTAATCAAACATTCAATGCGCTGTATATACCTTCCCTTAGCGGACTTATTACTAGTGCATGGGGCCTCTGAGAAACGCTCCGCGAGCCTTGCGCGGGGAAAGGCCAATTATGTGCAGCGCGCACTTCACAAACACGGCGCGGGTAATTACACAGCGACACAATGCGGCCGCGGCCGTGTGTGTTTGCGCACCCGGAACCGCGAGCGCAGGCGCGCGCCGCGCGGCAATTGTTCGATTCCGCCATTATGGCTACGCACAAAAGTACCGCGTCTGAATCGCTCCACCCGTGGGTGGGGGTATGGCCAGCACCCGCAGCCTGCGATGGCGGGGTGCGGGGTGCGGGGTGCGGTGCGACGGAGCCCCGCGGAAGGGCCACCCGGAGACACGAACAGCGGAGAGCGAAGCGGCCGGAGGCCTCTAATGCACAGTTTGTGCTTCAAGGCGCATCAATGCAAGTTCTCCCGCACCAAACAATTTACATGAATTGGGGAAGAATATGGAAAATATGGCCCAATATGACGGTTTTTCAAAAAAGTGACATTTCTTGAGTGTTTTAAAATGCTCGTCACAAAATTTAAGATTAAAATACCTCTTACATATAAACTTTTCATTTCCCTTTTTCGCATTCCAGATTTCGTGACTATTATAGTTAATTGTTAAAAGTACAATATCTTATAGTCTACGAATAAATTCCAATGATTATTTAGAATCAAACCAATATCACTACAACACGTCGCACAGTTTCGCAGAATCGACAAAACATTCGTACTTCTTCCTAATTTTTACGTTACGTATACGTCACGAGAGAAATCCATGTAAAATTTCAACTATGTACTTATTGCCTGACAGCGGGTGCACGATTTTTCCGTTCGTGTACTAGAAGTAGATACCGACGTTGAATATCGCAGTACATGCGTCCACGTGCCTACTCACATACCCTATCCCCCTCGAACTGAAGCCCGCTCCACGTCCTAAAAATAGAGTATGGTTATAAGAGAGAAAAGAAATCACAGTCAAAAAAGTGAACAGAGGTTCCCGAAATTTTACTTCTCTCGCACTAAAAGACTTTGATGTGCACGTACATGATCTCAGGAAGGGCTGAGTCCCTCCACCCCAAAAACCAAAGTGCGAGAAGAGGGAAGGCCGATGGAAGCGCAAGGGGAATAGGGGCGTGATAATGGCCGCTCCGCGCCCGCGCTCATCAATCCTACTCACAGCGCCCACTCGCGGCGCCCCCCGGCCCCGCCCCCGAAAATATTCACCACCCCCGCGCCGCTGCCGGCCCCACATCCTGCACGCGCTGCCATTCCGCTCAGCCCACCTGCGAAAGCAGGCGCTACGCACTCTGTTGTGGAACACGTTGCTTGAGAACATTAAGTCGCATAGCAATTAGTACAAGAAATACAAGAGAAAGAAGAAGATCAGTAAAAAGCGGAGAAAATTTGAAGTTTAGTAGAAAAATGTGAAACAAGCAACAGCATCAAGCAAGGGTGCCATGCGATAAGTAGGGCAGGCATTGCAAAGTATTTGACGAGCCGACGAGCGCCAGTCGCACGAAGGCCTAGCCCCCGCCGTCCAGCGTAGCGGCGCCGCCAGGTGGCGGGGGCGGGGGCAGGGGCGGCGACCGTCATCTTCCGATGGCCGTATCGATCCCAAGGGCCGCGCGGCCGCCAGGGCCCGCGCCGGCCTGCTCCTGTGCCTCGCCTCGCCTCTCCCCTCCCCTCCGCGCCGCGCCGCGCCGCGCCGCGCCGCCCATCAAATTCCAATGTCCAATAGCTAATTACTGCCGCCGGCCGGAACGACTCCCTCCCTCCCCCAGCCCGCTCTCCGCCGCTGGAATAAAACCCCGCCCACGAGTACAGAACAAACACGCCGTGTATTTACTTGAGAGAGGAAGCACCTCGCACAAGGAGTTTCAGGAGCGGACCACCCCTGCAGTTGCAAGTCTGCATTTGAAAGCAGCGGGCGGAATTATTGCTGCAAAGAAAAGGTTTCTTCCAAACTATTACGATATCTGCGAACTTCACAACTCGTCAACGATAAAAGTTTCTAATTTCAAATTATAACTGATACCCATAGTAATTTACAAGACACATATCCGCTCTTAGGATCACATTGAACGGCGGGGGTTGACAAAAATTTTCCTAAACTGAACGCCGGGTTTTATTCAAAAAAATTGTACGTCAAAAAATTTAAAAAACAATAATCTCATTGAAATGATTTATTGATTTTTAAGTAATTTGCAATAAAATAACAAAATGTATAATTGTATAAATCGATGTGTTGATTAAAAACTTATACCTAATCACAACAAAGTAAACAAAAGAGGGGAGGAAAACGACACAAACACAAAAACGTACTAAAAAACTGCAAATTTCATTTTCTAGTATTTACAACTGCAATTCAATCACAGGAAGCACTCACAAGCAAATACAAAGACAACACAAATACAAAATAAACTTACGGCAAAATGGAAACTTGGGCAACGTTGATGCACGTTAATCTCGGTTACTTCATTACCTAGATGTAATAACGAAATACACGTAACCGGTAATGAGCGAATGTAAAATCGAGGAGAATGGGGAAACCTAGGACGCACAAGGCTTATACTTGGCAGTTATGGGTGCCTTTTTAATTTGCCTGTATCAAAAGGTGCAAATAAGTATTTTATATCAACTAAAATACAAAAGATATTCCTAACTAAAACAAAACTCCAACGGTACCAACTGGTGCTTTCCCCAACCTTGCTGAATGGGACTCTTCCCTACAGTCGCCGCTTCCGGAAACTAAAACGAGTATGGGCGAGTTGCGCTCCTCGCCACCCGAACAGGGCGCGAGCAGAGAGGCGTACTCACAAGACACACCCGAACCCCGGCATTGCTCGGGAAAGAGGGCAAGGGCGCGAGGTAGAATGAGGCGCGCGGGGCGTCGTGGGGCGGCAGGGGGAGGAGCACAAACGGGCGAAATGAAGACGACGCACAAGCCATCGTTCATTCCAGTCCAGGGTCCAAGTTAAACTAGCAGGCGAGCTCTCTAGCTAGTAACCTCTTCATTTCAAGACTGGATTATTTTAAATTGTCATAAAAATGGGTATCAGAGTACATAATGTTCGAATATGAAAGATTTTCAATTTTATGCAATTCTTTCAGGTATATGACAGATGAAAGAGACGTAAGCAACGCAGTTCATGTGATCCTTTAAATTATAATAATCTGTTAAAAAATATCCTTTCTCCGCCCTTTTATCTTAATCAGTATATAGGTCATTC